AATGTTTCGGAACCGCAGTCATCCAAAAAAAAAGGCATGTCATGTAAAGAATTATGATAAGTCATTCACTAAAAAGGAGAAAGTCAATCTGATATAGAAGCTAGGTATAAAGTAACACAACATTCAAAATCTCATTTTACAGATAGTATTAAATAAAGCTATAGCTTGAAACAAGAAATACTTATAGACCCAAATGGTTTCATTCCCATAAGAATTGCTTTTATGTCATTCAGTTAATTATGTTAAAAAATGCACTTAAAAGGTTATAAGTATCTTTCTAATTTAGCCCATTGAATCACCTGTGTAGGAAAATCTAGTTTCTGTTTGCTAGCCATGTATGATTTATGAAATATTGTAATAATATATGTTTTTTTTAAATTGGAACTTCACTCTATCATCCAGGCTGGAGTGCAGTGGTGGTATTCTCCTAGCCACTACAGCCTCGACCTGCTGGGCTCAGGCGATTCTTCCACTATGGGCTTCCAAGTAGCTGGAACTACAGGCACATGCCTCTATGCCCAGCTAATTTTTTTTTTTTAAATTGTAGAGATGAAGTCTCACCAAGTTGCCTACACTGGTCTCAAACCCATGGGCTCAGGCAGTTCTCTCGCCTCGGCCTCCCAAAGTGTTAGGATTACAGGCTTGAGCCACTGTGCCCAGCCTAGTAATATTTCTTATTTGAGAACTAAAAGGTTTTGGTAGTATAATATACTTTAGAAACAACTTGACAATGTGTAAAGTTATTACTCAAAATATTTGTTATTTATTTCAAGTTAAAGATTTTTAAGGTTATTTATTCCACAGATGTTTAATGAATGCCCACTAGATATCAGGTGCTATGTTGTTCATTGGGACTATAAGGATGAACGAGCTTTGCTGGGCACAATGGCTCACACCTATAATCCCAGCACTTTGGGAGGCTAAGGAAAGGGGATTGCTTGAGCTTAGGAATTCAGGACCAGCCTAGGCAGCATAGTGAGATCATGTCTCTACAAAAAAATTTAAAAATTAGCTGGGCGTTGTGGTGCGCCTATAGCCCCAGCTACTTGGGAAGCTAAGGGGGAAGGATCACCTGAGCCCAGGATCTTGAGGTTGCAGTGAGCTGTGATCATGCCACTGCACTCCAGCATGGTTGACAGAGTGAGACCTTGGCTCAAAAAAAAATATTATCCAAAAGACTTGTTTATAATCAATAAAAAACTTCTACAATAAGACAACCTCATAGAAAAAAAGGGGTAGAAGACTAGACTCTTGACAAAGGAGCCTATCTAGATGGCCAATATACGTTTTATTTTTAGATTAGAAAATATAGTTTATTTAGAAAGTAAATTAGAGAGAGAAAGAAAGAGGAGATTCACCTCCCCAAGGCAGGGAAGGGGGCCAAAGCTAGGAAACATGGCAACAGCCATAGCTCAGAGAGCACATGGCCACACCAGAGTCTAGTAAGGCAATGGTGGTCCAATATACATTTTAAAAAGTGCTCAGTGAAATGCAAATCATGTGCCCAATTGTAGATCTCTGGAGTTAATTCTATGTGGAATCTGTTGAGCTTCTTGGATGTATAGATTATTATTTTTCCATCTTTTTTGGGAAATGATCAGTTATTATTTCTTTTTGTCTCTTTTTCATCATGACTCTCATTATGTGTTTGTTGGTGTACTTACTGGAGTCCCACAGGTTTCAGAGGCTCTGTTCATTTTTTTCATGGAAATGCCAATTATAACCAGAGTAAGATCCCTCTACATACTGACCATAATGGCTAATACTTTTAAAAGTGACAGTACTAAATGCTGAAAGCATGCGAAGAGGTGGAAACTCTCACCCTGCTGGTGGTTATGAAAATTGATACCATGGCTTTGGAAAACTGTTGGGCAAAATCCAAACATACATGTACCTGTGGCTCAACTAGTTCCAATAGAAATGTGAGCCAGTGATTTCCAGTAGATTTTACAAGAATGTTTAGAGCAGCATCATTCTCTTTTTAGATTTATTTATTTATTTATTAAAGCTGTGGGGTACAATTCAGTATTAGGCATACAAGTGGATACTGTACAGGTAAAGTTTGGGCCTCCATTTGGTCCCCATTTTACCTGACTTGAGATCGGATACCCTTACTGATGTTGTGTTCTCACTCCCACCCCAACAATATCCTGCTACTGCCAATGCCTTTCTTATAGTATCATGGTAAATGTTCAGGGTCCACTTATGAGTGAGAATATAGGGTACTCTGTTCTTTGTTTCTGTAATAGATCACTGAATATTATAGATTTTAAATCCATCCAAGTTGTCGTGAAGTTCATATGTTTGTCCTTTATGGGCTGTGTGATATTCTATCATATATATGTATCACTTTTTTAAAAATCCAGTCCAGTTTTGATAGGCAGTACTGTTGATTCCATGTTTTTGCTACATGAATAGTGCTGCAAAAAGGTGCGTGTGCGGGTATCTTTTTTTGTAGAATGATTTGAGTTCCTCTGGGCATATTCTCAGTAGGGGAATTTCTGAGCCATATGGAAGATCAAGTTCTAGTTCTTTTAGAAATTACTACACTGTTTTCCATAGAGGTTGAACTAGTTTGCCTTCCCGCCAGCAGTGTAGAGGCATTCCCTGTTCTCCTCACCAACATCTATTGTTGTTTGTTTTATTAATGATGGCATTCTTTTTTTTTTTTTTTTTTGAGTTGGAGTCTCACTGGGTCGCCTAGACTAGAGTGCCGTGGCCGCTTCCGGCCACTGCAGCCTCGCCTGCTGGGCTCCAGCAATCCTTCTGCCTCAGCCTTCCGAGTAGCTGGAATTACAGGCATGTGCTACCATGCCCGGCTGATTTTTTTTTTTTTTTATTTATTGTAGAGATGAGGTCTCTCTGCCCAGGCGGGTCTCGAACCCGCGGGCTCAGGCAATCCACTCACCTCAGCCTCCCAAAGGCGTGGGATTACAGGCTGAGCCACCGAACCCGGCAATGATGGCATTCTTACTGGGGTTAGGTGGTTATCTCAGTGTGGTTTTAATGTGTATTTCTCTGATGATTAATGAGGCTGTTGGCTGCCTGTATATCTTCTTTTGAGAAGTGTCTATTCATGTCTTTTGCCCACCTTTTAATGGAACTGTTTGTTTTTTCCTTTCTCTTTTAGTTTTATTTCATTTATTTATTTTAGTTTTATATTTTAGTTTTATTTTTAAGAGAAACAAATGTAATTTATAGAAAATGATATGAACATGAAAGGTAGTTTAGGACTAGATTATATAGGGCCTAATTAAATACATGTAGACATTGTGCTCTAATGAACTCAAGTGGATCAGTGTGACATTTTAGCAGGATTCACCTGGTTTGGCACAAGAGGAGAGGACCCTGTCACTGATTCCTTTGCTTTTTTATGAGGTGTTTTTAAATTTTTTCCATGTGAGCTTTAAGAGCAAATCTGCTTATAATTTTAGTCGCCTTATTCTTAATCATCAAATGCTAGAAGCAACCTAAATTCTTTTCCAGTAGGATAGAGAAATAAAATGAATATATTCATATACTGGGATGCTGCACAATAATAATGAAAATGAATAAGCTACTGCCATATATAGCCGTATAGATGAATCTCATGAACATAATATTGAGCAATGAAGCAGAGCATAAGAGTACATACTCTGTTATTACATTTATATAAATTCAAACAGGAAACTGACACTTGTTTCTGTACTGTAAGTACATTTAACATGGGTGAATGAGCAACTTCCAGTTTTAAAGGAGAACCAGATAGTAGGGCAGTAGATAACCCTGCACCAGGTTGCCGGGCTTACTGTATATACATCACAACCACCTGTGTAGCTTTTTGGAAAAAGGTCCTAGATTTCACTCCAGTATTCTCATACAGTATATGTGGGATGGAGCTAGGAGTCTTATATTTTTAAGCTCCTTAAGCTGACTGACATTTGGATTTGGGAAATCTAACCTGATTTGGGAATTCCTTAGTAACAGTAAAGAGGTAAAAACAATTTCGATGTAAAGGGGGAATCGTTTTCTGCTATTTAATAGGAACTGCAGTGGATACAGAGGGTGAGAAGAAAAATTGGTAGTGAGATCATAATCCTTAGAAGAGGAGGTAGAAGTAGACGAAAGCTAGAACATGAGGATGTGAAAAACATAAATTATTAATTGACTTGAACATTCTGAATAATGGAACTTTCCTCCTAAGTTATTCCTGCTGGATCTCTTTGAATTACTTATAGGTAGTCAGAACCTGATTATTTAATATTATTTCTGGCATTTAACACTTTTCTGCATGTAGCATTTTTAAATTTTGTGTATCTTTAGAATGTATTTTAAATAACTTTATTGAAGAAGGTCAGTTTTAAGAAACATTTCCTTACCTGATACTTGCTAGACATTGTACTAGTCACTTGAGAAAAGTCAGATGCTTTCCTTGTCTTGAGGAGCTTAATCTAATATAGGTGGTTTAGGCATGACATCTGCTTACCAATGTCTGTAGTATGCATCAGTCAATAATATGACAGAAAACGTCCATTGTTTAATTAAGCTAGAAAAAAACCTGTTAAACTTTTGTACAAATTATGGAAGTCTTGCACATTTTGCTGTCCAGGGACTAGGAGGATATTCCTATTTTGGTGTCTAGTTTTTTGGAATCTGTTATAACATGGGAATTTGTCTCCTTTCATCTAAGACCTGTGGGTCATGGGATAGTCCTTTTCCTCACCCCTCATTTCCACAGTTGTGTACATTGTACACATTGTCATCTTTGTTTCTAGAGTTCAGGATGCAGTTGATGCTTGCTCCTAAATTCCAGGTACTAATGATGCCATTGCTCCATCATTGTGCTGGTATTCATGTCTCTGGCAATCTGGTTTCTTCTTTGTACATCTAGTCATGAACCTGAACTCCTAAGAGAGGTTTCCGTAGACAAGTATTCACACAATGTTAGCCAGCTTGTTTTTTCTTTTAAGCTTACTTAAATTTGTGCAAATATATACCATACATCTCTATTTTTTTTGCAGGTAGTAGCCATGGCTATGTCGGTGCCAGCAGCAGGATGTCAAGAAGAACACATTTATGCTCTGCCGCTGCTAATAGTTTATTAGACATTGATCCATTAATTTTAATACATTTGTTAGACCTTAAAGACCGGAGCAGTATGGAAAATTTGTGGGGCTTACAGCCTCGCCCACCTGCTTCACTTTTACAGCCCACAGGTAAAATAATAACAGTGAAAGTTTCCTCTTTTTCTGTGGTTTTCTAAAAGAACTCTTGAATTTTTATGTCTTTCAGCTATATGTTGGAATGTGGTATTTTTCTGTAGCAAATTGATTTTTTTATTGTATAACATTTATATCAGCCAGATTAATTTTTTTGTTGTTGTTTAAAGGTGTTTTGTGCAAAAACAAGGTAAAAATGCTTGAAAGAAGATTTTTAAATGTTTTGCTACTTATTTTATTTAAACACATTTTAACATGGAATGCTTCACAGATAGGCATGTCATCCTTGCACAGGGGCCATGCTAGTCTTCTAATTTTAGTATATGTACTGCCAAAGCGAGCACTGATTTGCTTTATTTAGGTTGTGCCTGGCAGTTTGATCCATATGAAGTTCAGTTGCTCTCTTTATGAATGGACTTCAGGTTTTTCAGGGTTTATGAATCCCCTTCCAAGTGGAACTGTACTTAAGTTGAGCATAGAAAAAAGATGGTTTACTCGTGGTTTGATGTTCAGTAGATTAAAAATATATACCACTTGGCAGCACTGTTTTATGTGCAAAAGTTATTAAAGAGAAATTACATTTATGTTGCAGTAATGAGATGGAAATGTGTATAGTTTAACAGGCTTTTTAAAATTCTCAAGGACAGAGTCATTTTGGACAGCTAAGGACTTATCTTTAAAAGCTACATTTTAAAAACCATTTTTGTTGAAATACCTTCTAAAATATACTCAGTATATTAAATGTACTGAACATTTTCCCACCTTTCTAAACAATAATAATTCTATAAATCAAATAAGTGATTTAGGACTGTAATTTTGATGCTGGTTTCAAGCAGCAGAATGCATTTTTCAAACAAAATCTGAAGCAGAACTTCTGTATAGATAACAGAGATTTAGCGCTGCTCTAATGGGGTAGGAACTTAGACCCAGATTATTTAGGCCTTTTCCTTCCTAAAGAGCCAGGTATATACTTCCTGGAACTCTGGGTCCTCAGTCTGACGGACTGTCTTAACCAGGTTATGAAATAGTTACCTTTTATCTATGATCCATATGCTTTATATAAAGTTTTGCTTTATGGATAATAACTAGTGTTGTTTGCAAAGACCTGGTGAAACACACAAGTTCTGATTCTGCAGGTAGATATGTAAAGATACATCCTTTTTGAAGGACAGTTTTGTAGCAAGTATAAAATATCTATATACTATAAACCTTTAATTTCACCTTGAGGAATGTATGCCAAAGAGAGAACAACCAGGTGTTTGAAAATATCCAACAATACAGTTATGACTGAATAAATTACAGTTTAGCTATGCAGTAGTGTATTTTATAGACAGGTTAAATCATGTTTTTTAAAATATTCAATGTTATTGGAAAAAAGAATGCAAATGATATAAACAGTAAGATGTGTTCTCTAAAAATTTAGTTTTCCGTGTAAAATTTATAGTATAAATGAAATTACTCGAATTTCAAATTCAAGTGATAAAATGCCAATGATAATAAAGAGCATGGGGGAAATAGTAGAAAGTTTTCGAAAAGCAAGTTTTGGATTTAAACTTCTTGAATTGGGCATACCAGTGGGACATCAGAGTAGAGATGGCTAGTAGTCAGCTAAAAATTAAGAACTGGAATACAGGCAGTTATTTTCCTGGAAATGATACTGGATAATTAAAACCAAGGATGTGAGATTACAGAGTTTTATGAATATTTTAAAAGAAGAAAACCAGGAATGTAATCCTGATGAACATCTGTTTTTATTATGTTGAAGATGAACCAGATAAAGACCTTTTAGAAAGGATAAAAACCAAGAGAAACGGTCATGGAACTCAAATGAAAATAATCTGTCTGTGAGGAATGTTAATAAAAACTAATGTGCAGAAAGATCCAACTTCCTTTTTACTAAAAGGCGTGCTTAGATTTTGATGTTTATTTTGGTTCTTTGTGTATTCTTTAGTTCAACACATATTTAGTGAACACTTACTATGTTTCAGACCATATAAAAGGAGTGTTGTAAAAGGTATCAGGTAATCTAGATTTTAAAGTACATGTAGAGGTAAGTACAACTAGAAAGTCAAATTGTATCCATTCTGTAGAAGGCCTTCCATACTATCCTGAGGAATTTATTCAGAGTAGGTAATGGGGGAGCCATTGTTTCCTTTTAGGAGTGATTTGATTCAAACTGTATTTTTGTTGTTGTTATTATTATTATTATAGACTGGGTCTTATTCTGTCACCCAAGCAGTGGTGTGATCTTGGCTCCACCCCTTGGGCTCAGGTGGTCCTCCTGCATAGCTGGGACTACAGGCGCATGACACTATGCCCTCCTGGTTTTTAAATTTTTTTTGTAGAGACAGGGTCTTGCTGTGTTGCCCAGGCTAGTCTCGAATTCCTGGCTTCCAGTGATCCTCCTGCCGTGGCCTCCCAAAGTGCTGGAATTACAGGCATGAGCCACTGTGTCCAGCCCAAACTGTATTTTAGAAAGCTGACATTGCCAAGAAAACAGAAATAGAAGTTTAGTCAGGGTAATAATGTAGGGGTTTATTTCAGTGATTTGGGCACATTCATACACTTCTATGTGTTTTTTAAGTTATATGCCTAAAGATATGTGGAACTGTGATAAAGTCTTCAGATTTTTTTTTTTTTTTTTTTAGTTGGAGTCTCACTCTGTCGCCCAGGCTGAAGTTCAGTGGCACACTCACGGCCACTGCAGCCTCGACCTGCTGGGCTTAGGCGATCCTTATGCTTCAGCCTTCCAAGTAGCTGGAACTACAGGCGCACACTGCCATGCCTGGCTATTTTTTTTTTTTTTTTTTTTTTAGTTGTAGAGATGTGGTCTCACCAAGTTACCCAGGCTGGTCTCGAACCCATGGGCTCAGGCAATTCTCTCACCTTGGCCTCCCAAAGTGCTGGGATTATAGGCATGAGCCACTGTGCTCAGCCAGAATTTTTTTAAGAAACAGGGACTTGCTCTGTCACCAAGCTGGAGTGTAGTGATGCAGCCTCAGACTCTTGGGCTCAACTGAGCTATGTGGGTTAATACCAGATTTCCTATTTAAGTCCTAATTTAGAGTGGGAGCCACAAAGGTTTCACTTAGCAGACGTTTTGAGTATTTTTGTGCTTTACTTAGAATACAAAGATCTGATCTCCACCTTAAGTTGTTCATAGTCTACATGTTTGTCTTCACTTTTGTGCTGTTAAGTGCTTCGGTAGAAGTATTATCTGTGTACTATACAAATTTAGATAAGAATTGATTTGTAGCCGGGCTCGGTGGCTCAGCCTGTAATCTCCCGCCTTTGGGAGCCTGAGGTGAGTGGATTGCCTGAGCCCGCGGGTTCAAGACCCACCTGGGCAGCGAGACCTCATCTCTACAATAAATCAAAAAATCAGCCGGGTGTGGTAGCGCATGCCTGTAATTCCGGCTACTTGGAAGGCTGAGGCGGAAGGATCGCCGGAGCCCAGCAGGTCGAGGCTGCAGTGGCCAGGAGCGGCCACTGCACTCCAGTCTGGGTGACAGAGTGAGACTCCAACTCAAAAAAAAGAATTGATTTGTGAGGAGGAGGGCCGTTGGTGGTTGGTGCCTTCAGGACATTTCAGATTATATCTGATGAGTTTGGGTTGACAGAGAGTAAAGGGAATAGGACATTTGAAAATAATGTAAGTGCGATAGAGGAAGGCCCATGTATTAGAAAGAGTTGCAAGAAATTCCTAAAGATTAGAGTACATTGGGATATAGGTAGAAGATAAAATTGCTGAGAAATAAGGTAGGATCAGGTGGGTAGGTCCTGTGTGCCTTGCTGGTACTTTCTGCTTTCCTAAATGCTATAGAATGCCATATGATGATTCTAAGCAGGAAAGTAATATCTAATCTGGGTTTCAGAAACCTGTTCTGGCATCATGGTGGACAGTGGATTAGATGGGAACTATGCTGCAGGGTGCTTTTACAAAGATTGAATTTTCTGAACCTCACATCAGCCCTGTTATATGACTATTATTATCTTCATTGTTCAAATAAATAAGTAAATAAGTAGATGAACTCAGAGAGAAGTTGATGAATGTACAGAAAGTTATAGCAACTAAATGGTAGATCTCAGACCTGGTCCTGGCTTTTTAAAATCTCTGGTCATGTTCTGTTATGAATGCTTTCAACTGTAAATAACACAATTCTGCTAACTGGTGGCTTAAATAATAATGACGCTTAATTATCATGCATATTAGGAAATTTAGAGGTAGGTGATTCCAGGATCATCAGTTACTTGGAGGCGGGACACAAGATGGTATGGTGATAATTTTGTCTCTTCTCTCATAGTAGTAAGATAGCTACCATAGCTCTAGGCATCATGTATTCACAGGAATGTTTCACTCGCAGGAATTAAAAGACTGGATAGAAAAGAGACCTTATTCCTGTGACCCTGGAGAGATACTAATACCAAGATTACTGATTCTGGAGGCTGGCTCCTGGGTTTGAATTGAAGCTCTTCTGTTTACTAGTTGTGTTATCTTGAGTATGTTATATGACCTTTCTGTGTATCTTTCCTCATTTATAAAATGGAGTTAATAGTACTTACTTACCTCATAGGGTTGATATGTACCTCATAGGTTGATATGAGAGGATTAAATGACTTTAGTATTTTTAATTGTCAGACATACAATAGGTTATTTTCTGATGTTGTTAAATAAATAGACACAATAAAGTCCCCTATCAGGGTAGAAAATCTTTCCTAGAAGTGTCCCCTCAGAAGAGTCTTGGCTACACGAAGGTCATGTGCTCACCCTAAACAATGTCAAATAGGAATAAGATTAGACTAGTCATGAACTTAGTATACCCTGGGGCTGAAGGAGAGACCTAACCTCCCTGAGCACATTGCTGCCCACCTGATATCTGAACACAATCTGGGTCCTTTTGGGAAGACAGAAATGAGGGAATGGCTGCTGGATGGACCATAATGTCTACCTTTTACTTTACTTCCTCTTGTATGACAGAAGGTTGTTGCAACATTTAAGAAGTTTCAGCTTTCATTTCTGCTAATAAAGGATTTGTTCATTGCCTAGTTAGGGTTCCTCTTGATCTTCTGGTTTTGTTATTTAAAAAATTTTTTTTGGCTTGGCTTTTTTTTGCTTTGAGTCAGTCATGATGGCCTTTGATTCCCAGAATTGTACCTTTTTTTCCCTTCCTGCAATAGAACAGAAGTGTATATTTTCCTTGCTCGTACTTCACTTTTTAACATTTGGGCAGGGGGAGAATAAATTGAAAACAGCATCTTACTTTATCTGGGAAGAGAGAAAATTCACCTTAGTGGCTGAAGAGATTCAGTGAGTTGAAACTTTTCTTTTATGATGTTCCACAGCACTTAATAGATGCATCTAATAGTTTACTAAAGCAACTTTTTGAATTTAGGTGAAATATGTATTTTAATATAATATTATATATAGCAGACTTGACAAAGTATTTGGCTTCTAGGTTTTTCTTTGTCATTTTTTTCAATTATGTACGTCATAACAGTTCTAGAAAGTATGAGACAAGAGGAGAAGTATAAAGAAAGCACAAGGCAGTAGGGCAGCTTTTAAACTTTTAGAGTTAACTGTATATTTCAAATTTCAGTGTGATGTGACTCAAATTCTAACTTTGAAGGTGTGAATAGAGTTAGGATTCTTGTGTCTATTTTTATTAATGGAACTTAATGTATGCTTTTATTGTTGATACCACTTAAAGTACCCTAACTTATTTTTTATATCAAATTTGCATTCATTCGTGGTACAAAATTATTTCATGAATGTTAAAGCTCATATTAACATGACTCGTCAATTTCTCTCTGAAGCATCATATTCTCGAAAAGATAAAGACCAAAGGAAACAGCAGGCAATGTGGCGAGTGCCCTCTGATTTAAAGATGTTAAAAAGACTCAAAACTCAAATGGCTGAAGTTCGATGTATGAAAACTGATGTAAAGAATACACTTTCAGAAATGAAAAGCAGCAATGCTGCTTCTGGAGACATGCAGACAAATCTTTTTTCTGCTGACCAGGCAGCTCTGGCTGCGTGTGGAACTGAAAACTCTGGCAGATTACAGGATTTGGGAATGGAACTCCTGACAAAGTCATCAGTGGCCAGTTGTTACATACGAAACCGTAAGTAAAAAATTCTTGTTAGCATTGTTCCTATCTGGAAAGCAAGATGACTGCTTTTTTATTTCCAGAAAAAGAATATTTAGATATCTCTCTTCCAATGACTATACATGCATCCCTTTTCCCCATCCAGAATTGTTTCCATATATTTTTTGTTACATAATAGAGCTAACATTTCTTGATTGCGTACTGTGTATTTGGTAATAAGACAAAATTCTTAACCTCATGGGTCTTCCTAGTGATGAGAATCAAACATTAAAATATGAAAACAAGTAAAGGTAATATCATTTGGTAAAAAGTGCTGTGAAGGAAATAACAGACTAGTGGGATGGGGGGATCTGATGGGAAGTGTGCTACTTTGGTTGGGATAGTCAGAGAAAGTCTCTCTGAGGGGGCAACATTTGAACTGGGACCTAAAGGTTAAGAAGGTGGCAGTCATTCAGAGATTTAGGGGAAGCAGTGTTCCTGGTCAACAGAACAGAAAATGCAACATCATTGGCACAGGATTTACTTTTCAAGGATTGAAAGAAGACCAGCGTGGCTGAATATAGTAAACAAAGCAGAGAGGGGAGAATAGTAGGAGATGAAGTCAGAGAGGAAGGCAGGATGTACTTCAGTCAGGTAGGTCTTGTAAACCCTCTAAAAGGAGTTTGAGTATTATTCAGATTTTAGGAGAAAGTCTCCAGAGAATAAAAATCAGGAGTGTTTATAATCCTGTTTACTCTTTACAAAGATGACTTTGCTTGTTGAATGGAGAAGGGTCTGAAAAGAGTTGAGAGCAGGAGTTGGGAGACCAGTAACAGCATATTACAGTAGCTTTATGTGAAATATGGTGGCATATTCTAGAGTTATAACAGTGGGTAGATGGACTTGTTCATAGGCTAGCAGTTTTTTTTAACTAAGGCCTTTTGACTATCTTTCTTAGTTCTCCCAAGGATGATACATAGCTAGTACTCTTCTAAATGTATAGGAGAGAAATTAATTCATTATATGCGATGAGATCCTTAGACCAGTAGGGCTTAATTCTTTCTTACAACCCTAGTTGTAACCTAGCTACTTGGGAGGCTCAGGTGGGAGGATCAATTGAGCCCAGGAGTTTAAAGTTACAGTGAGCTCCGATCATGCCACTGCACTCCAGCCTGGATGACAGAGGTGAGACTCTGTCTCTAAAAAAAAAAGAAGCAACAGCAGCAGGTTGTGGGTGTTGTGGGCCTTGGGAGGAGAGAGGTAAGTGCTGGAAATCAGGAATTATTTTGTACACCTGTGACTGCTAGATACCCTAGTATAAAATGTCATACACTCATGAATGGTACATGGGCTTCAGAGAGAAGTCAAAACTGGATGTAACAGTTGGGAATACATGTTATTTAAAACCAGGGGACTGAATAGGGTCAAATATGGACGGAGTGTCAGTGGAGAAGAGAAACTTTGGTTCTGCAGCACTTAAACATTTCAAGATCTGGCAAAGAGTGGAGACCAGCAAAGGAAATTGAAAATAGCAATCTTTAAAGTAGGAGAAAAACTAGAAGGGATAATATCTCAAAAGTCTATTTAAAAAATGCATCTCAAAAAGAAATGGAGTGGTTACCTGTGTTAAATGCCATTGAGAAATGTCAAGATGAAGATCAGGTGACCCCTTTAAGAACATTCCCTTGGAAGTTGCACAATGAAGTGGGTAGAACCTGGAGGAGGTGTGGGGCCAAGAGTTTGTTGTCTGGGTAAGGAGTGTTCATTTTCTTAATCATATGTTTTTTTTAAGGTATTTATTGTGGTAGAATATACAAAGTACAAAATTGTATCATTTTAACCTTTCTGAGGGGGTTCTACATTTAAAAAATAATGGTAAACTGTACATAACAAAATGTACCATTTGACATGTACGGTTCAGTGGTATTAAGCAATTCACATTGTTGTGCAGTCGTCACCACTGTCCATCTCTGGAATTTTTTCATCACCCCAAACTGACACTCTACCTATTAAATGATAATTGCTTATTCCTCTCTCTACCTAGTACCTGGTAACCACTCTTCTATTTTCTGTTTTTATGAATTTGGCAATTCTAGGTATCACATATGAGTGGAATCATATAATATTTGTCTTTTGTGACTGACATCTTTTGCTTAGCATGTTTTTAAGTTTCATTCATCTTGTGGCATACTGTAGAATTTCCTTACTTATTAAGATGGAATAATATTCCATTCATATCACATTTTGCTTATTCATTCATCTGTTGGTGAACATTAGATTATTTATACCTGAGTTTACATTTGCATTGTTTACCTTTGACTTGTTTCTCTTGGATATATACCCAGTAGTGGCATTGCTGTTATGAATAACACTGCTGTAAACACAAGCTGTACAAATATCTATTAAAGTCCCTTCTTTCGAATTTGGGTATATACCCAGAGTGGGATTGCTGGATGATATGTAGTTCTATTTTTAATGTTTTGAGGAACCACCATACTGTTTTCCATAGCATGTGTGCTACCTTACATTTCCACCGATTGTACACAGGGGTTCCCTAATGAATAATGATACTGAGCATATTTTTATGTGCTTATTAGACATCTGTATGTCTTCCTTGGAGAAATGTCTGCTCACTTACTTGAATTAAACTCAATTTTTAAAATTTAATTTTTAAAAATTATTATCTTAAAATTGACATATGAGGCCAGACTCAGTGACTCAGCCTGTAATCCCAGAACTTTGGGAGGCCAAGGCGAGTGGATTGCCTGAGCCCGTGGGTTCGAGATCCACCCGGGCAGCTTGGCAAGACCTCATCTCTACAATAAATAAAAAATTAGCCAGGTGTGGTAGCGTGTGCCTGTAGTTCCGGCTATTTGGAAGGCTGAGGTGGAAGGATCGCTAGAACCCAGCAGGTCGAGGCTGCGGTGGCCGGGAGCGTGCCACTGCACTCTAGACTGGGTGACAGAGTGAGACTCTTTCTCAAAAAAAAAAGAAAAAACTGACATATGATGATTGTGCATATTTAGGGGGGTACATAATGATATTTTGACATATGCAATGTATAGTGGTCAAAGCAAAGGAAGTAGAAAGTTTGTCACCTCAAATATTTAAACATTTATTATTTCTTTATGTTAGAAAACACTCAAAATCCTTTCTTTTAGCTATTAAAAATATATAATAAATTATTGTTAACTAGTCATTGGGTAGTGTTGTCAAACACTAGAACTTAGTCCTATTATTTAGCTGTGATTTTATACCCTTTAGCCAACTTCATCCTAGTCTCCTCCCCCTTCTAGTCTCTGCTAACCACTTACTTCAACTTTTATGAGATCAACTTTTTTTAGCTTCTCACTCACGTATGAGTGAGAAAATGTGGCATTTGTCTGTCCCTGATTTATTTCACTTAACAGTATGTCCTCCGGGCTTATCCATGTTGACTCAGATTTTATGACTCAGAAACACCCCATTGTGTATATGTACTGCATTTTATTTATCCATTCATCAGTTAATGTACACTTAGGTTAATTCCATATCTTGGCTATTGTGGGTAGTTCTGCAGTAAACATGGGAGTGCAGATGTCTTTTTGATATACTGATTTCTTTTCCTTTGGATATATACCCAGTAGTGGGATTGCTGAATCCTATGGTAGTTTTATTTGTAGTATTTTGAGGAACCTCCATGCTGTTCTTCATAATGACTGAATTAATTTATATTCCCATCAACAGTATATAAGACTTCCCTTTTCTCTACATTTGTTATTTTTTGTATGTTTTACATTACCCATTGTAACTGGGTGAAAAGAAGATTTCTCATTGTAGCTTGGTTTGCTTTTTCATTAGTGATGTTGAATACTTTTTGAGTTCCTTATGTATTCTAATTATTAATCCTTTGTCAGATGAATAGTTTGCAGATATTGTCTTCTAATCTGTAAGTTGTCTTTTCACCTGTTGATTTTTTTTCCCGTGCAAAGCTTTTTAGTTGATATAATCCCATTTATCTACTTTTGCTTCTGTTGTCTGTGCTTTTGAGGTCTTGCTCATAAAATCTTTTCCCAGTCCAATGTCCTGAAGCATTTCTCCTGTGTTTTCTTATAGTAGTTTTATCATTTTGGTTCTTACACTTAAGTCTTTAATTTATTATAAGTTGATTTTTTTTTTTTTATGAGATGAGAGATGGGAATCTAGTTTCCTTTCTTCTGCATATGGATATCCAGTGTTCCCAGCACAATTTATTGAAAAGACTGTCCTTTCCCCAATTAATTTTCTTGGTACCTTTGTCAAAAAACCATTGACTGTAAATACAAGCATTTATTTTTGTATTCTCTACTCTGATCCATTGGTCTGTTTGTCTGTTTTTATGCTAGTACCATGCTGTTTTGGTTACTGCACCTTTGTATTATATTTTGAGACAGGTCTAACAGCTTGTTACCCAGGCAGGAATGCAGTGGCGCAATCATAGCTCACTGCAGCCTTGACCTCCTGTGCTCAGGTGATCCTCCCACCTCAGCTTTCTGAGCAGCTGGGACTACAGGAATGGGCCACCACATTCGGCTAATTTTTAAAAAATATTTTTAGATATAGAGTCTTACTATGTCGCCCAGGCAGGTCTCAAATTCCTGGTCTCTGCTTCATCCTCCCAAAGTGCTGAGATTACATGAGCTACCATACCTGCCCCGCTTTGTAGAATTCATATATTTTGAAATCTGGTAGTGTGATGCCTCCAGCTTTATTCTTTTTGCTCAATATTGCTTTGGCTATTCAAGGTCTTTTGTGAATTTTAAGATCTTTCTGTTTCTGTGGAGAATGTTGTTAGTACTTTGTTAGGATTTCCTTGAATCTATAGATAACTTTGGATAGTATGGTCATTCTAACAATATTAATTTTTCTAGCCCATGCACATGGAATGTCTGTCCATTTTTTTGTGTATCCTCTTCAGTTTCATTAGTGAATTAAACCCATTTTTAAATTGGACTGGATTGTTCATTTGTTGTGAGTTTTAGGAGTTTTCTGTATATTCTAAACATCAATTCCTTATCACATATATAATTTACAAATATTTTCTCCTGTTTTGTGTTGCTTTTTCCCCTCTCTTGATTGCATCATTTGTGTGAAAAGTTTTAATTTGAAGTTTATTTTATCTGTTTTTCCTTTTGTTGCCCATGCTTTCAGTGTCATAACCAAGAAAGCATTGCCAAATTTAATGTCTTAAAGGTATTCTCCTATGTTTTCATCGAAGAGTTTTATAGTGTGAGTTGTTGCATTTAGACCTTTGATCCATTTTGAGTTAAATTTTATTTGGTGTCAAGGAAGGATCCAACATGCCTGTGGATGTTTAGTTTTCTCAGTATAATTTATTGAAAAGACTTCTCTTTCCTTATGTAATGGTTTTGGTGCCGTTATCTAAATCATTTGAACCATATACATGAGAGTTTATTTCCGGACTATGTATATATTGTTTATTAAAATGAGATACATTAATTTTTGATATTAATGGTAATCCAGTAGAGATGGATTGAGAAGGGGATAATTGCAGGCTATATAGAGTTATCTTAAAATAAGGAAGACAGTTTGTTAGTAAAATGAGTAAATGTCATGAATAGGCCATTAACATAAGAAATAGAAATATCCAGTAAAAATATGAAGCTACTCGGCATAACCTACTGCTCAAGGAAATGGTAAAATTTTTTTTTTTTTTTTTTTTGAGTTGGAGTCTCACTCTGTCACACAGACTGGAGTGCAGTGGCCGCTCCCAGCCACCGCAGCCTCGACCTGCTGGGATCCGGCGATCCTTCCGCCTCAGCCTTCCGAGTAGCTGGAACTACAGGCGCATGCTACCACATCCGGCTAATTTTTTATTTATTGTGGAGATGAGGTCTCGCCAAGTTGCCCAGGCTGGTCTCGAACCCGCAGGCTCAGGCAATCCAGTCACCTCAGCCTCCCAAGGTGCGCGATTACAGGCTGAGCCACTGATCCCGGCTGGAAATGGTAAATTAAAACCAAAAGAAGTACTGCTGTTTGGGAGGACTTCTGCAAAAAGCCTTTGTTACATATTTTGCAAATATTGTTGACCCTTGAGCAACCCCAGCTTGTGCTGTGCGGATCCACTTATATACAGACTTTTTCCAACCAAAGGTGGATCAAAAATATAGTATTCACGGGATGTGAAATTCATGTATAGAATACCCAACTTTCCTGTAGGTGGGTCCCACAGGGCCTTACTCTGGAACTTGAATATGTGAGAATTTTGGTATTTATGGGTGTCTTGGAACCAATCTCTTTAGTATATCTTCCTCATTGCCACTTTTTTACTGCTAATTTTGAAATTTTAAAATGTTATTTTAGACATATGTAGTAATAATATGTAGATCATTTTGGATAGTATGGTTTGGGAGATCTTAATGTTTTTATTTGTAAGGCCTTTTTAATTCTTAAGTTTATAAAAATGTGCTTAGTTTCTTCTAGTACTTTTTGTTTTTTTAACTTTTTTACATTTAGGTCATTAAAATTTATATAGAATTTATTTTAGATGATGCTTTGAGGACGTGAGCATCATATAAAATACATGGTTTCCCCCTCAAATGAACGAAACATATTTTTTGAAGGATCCACTCTTTCCAACAATATTAAATGCATCCTTTACTATAGACCAAATTCCCATATTTACATGATTGTTTTTGAACTCGGAGATTGGATCGAATGATTCAATTTAACCTTTTTTTTTTAACTGCTGTGATTTTATAGATGGTAGTATTCTGATAGGATATGTTTTCGTTGTTTTCATTTTTCATAGCGTTCTTGATGGTTCTTACACATCTCCTCCCTAAAGGCATTTTGATTAGAATTGCATTACATTTAAAGACTAATTTGGGGGATCGACATATTTTCAGCATCAAAGAGTTGCTGTTTAGGAATGTGACATTTTTACTTTATTCAGGTTCTCTGTTATATACATGAACTTCTTTAGAGTTTTAGATTTTTTCTCTTCACTGACCTAGTTCTTAGGTTTATTTCATCTATTGTCTTTCACCCTTCTATTATATTTCTGCTTTTTTGTCTTCGTTTACACTTTTCAATCTTTTTTCCGTAACCAGTAATTCATTTATACTTTGCAGTGGAGAAGTTGATGGTAATTTTTTATAAGTCTACAATATTTATCTAGGTTTAAGAACATTTTCATCACCCTCTCCCCAAAACTCTATATCTGTTTACAGTCGCTCCCTCATTTTTCTCTTCCCCCAGCTCTGGTAATTACTAATCTACTTTTTCTCTATGAATTTTTCTTCTTCTGGACTTTTTATATAAATGGAATCATACAATATGAGATCTTTTAGGTCTGGTTTGTTTCACTTAACCTTTTCAAGGTTTATCTATGTTGCAGCATGTATTAACTTTATTCCTTTTTATGGCTGCATGATATTTCATTGTATGGTTATGCCACATATTGTTTGTTCACTCATCAGTTGATGAACATTTGAGTTGTCTCCACCTTTTGGCTATTGTCAGTGATACTGCTGTGAACATTTATGTACAGGATTTTGTGTGGACATATATTTTTGTTTATCTTGAAAATATACTTAGGAGTGGAATTACTGGATAATATGGGAACTGTGTTTAACTTCTTGAGGAACTACCAGTGCCAGACTGCACAATTGTATATTCCCAGCAGCAGTGTATAAGGGCTCCACACCCTTGGCAACACTTGTAATTATCTTTCTTTTTTCTTTACTCATTTAATTGTCTTGGTATTCTTATCAAAAATCAGTTGACCAAAAATGATATTTTTGGGCTCTCAATTTTTCATTGATATACAGGGGGTAAAAAAATGTATACCTATTTTAAGAAATGTTATCTATGTATTTACTTCTTTAAGTTGAATTAAATTGCGGTTGCAGTGTGTAGTATGACAATCCAGTCACCTCAGCCTCCCAAAGGCGCAGGATTACAGGCTGAGCCACGGAGCCCGGCTCCTTCTGCCATTTTCTTTGTCGCGTGATGATGCCAGCATACGTTTGATTATTGTCATCTTTTGGGCAAACATCTTACTTAAAATGTGCATTTATTTCTTTGGCACCCTTATATATCTCTGTGTGGCAGTACCACATAATTTTGATTATGGTAGTTTTACAGTGACTTTTGAAATCAGAAGTGTGCCCCCTCCATTTGAGATTTTGGCTATTCTAGATATCTTACATTTTCATGTGAATTTTAGGATCAGCTTGTCAGTTCCTACAAGAAAAAAAAGGGGACCAAAGAGAGGCCCAAACTTTACCTATTTGATGTCCACTTGTATACCTAATCTTGAATTGTGCCCCACATCTTTTTTTAATAAAAAAAAAAAAGACAGCTGGTATTTTTATAGGGATTGTGTTGAATCTGTAGATCAATTTTGGGGGTATTGCTTTGTTAACAATATAAAATGTTCCAATCAATGAACATAAGATATCTTTTCTGTCTTTATTTTCTTTTGACAATATGTGGTAGCTTTCATTGTACAGGTCTAACATTTCTTTTGTTAAATTTATTTCTAAGTATTTTATTATATTTAATGCTATTATAAATGAAATTGTTTTCTGACTGGGCTCAGTGGCTCAGCCTGTAATCCCAGCGCTTTGGGAGACCGAGGTGAGTGGATTGCCTGAGCCCACAGATTCGAGACCTGCCTGTGCAACTTGGTGAGACCTCATCTCAACAATAAATCAAAAAATTTGCCGGGCGTGGTAGCGCGCGCCTGTAGTTCCAGTTACGTAGAAGGCTGAGGTGGAAGGATCGCCGGAGCCCAGCAGTTTGAGGCTGCAGTGGCCAAGAGCGGCCACTGCGCTCCAGTCTGGGTAACAGAGTGAGACTCCAACTGAAAAAAAAAAAAATTGTTTTCTTAATTTCATTCTCAAATTGTCTTCTGTTGGTGTATAGAAAGACAATTGATTATTTTGTCTTATATCCTACAACTTTGCTGAACCTGTTTAGTTATTGAACGTAATGAATCTTTTCTGCTTTATAATTTATTTTTATGATTTGTCAAAAAAATTTATAAGGAAAAGAATTTTATTTAGCTCATGGTTCTGTAGGCTGGGAAGTTCAAGGCTGTGGCCTTGGCTTCTGGCAATGGCTTTTTTGCTGCATCACAACCAATTTTTATTCTTTTTCTAGGTTCTTGAGTTTATGCATATTAGGCCATTTAGTTTTCTTTTGCTTCTTTCCTGATTATTTCGTTATAGGGCTATACATGTATTTTCTTCTTATTATTGCTTTGCCCTTAGACAGTTTCATTTGAAGTGTTGTAATTCTAATTTGTTTCTAATTATTGATTTTCTTTTTTTTCTCCTTTCTTTTTTTGGAGTCTCACTCTCACCTAGGCTGGAGTGCAGTGGCACAATTACAACTCACTGCAGCCCTGACTTCTGAGCTCAGGAGATTCTTCTGCCTTAGCCTCCCAAGTAGCTGGGACTATAGACATGCCCCCCCATGCCTGACTTTTTTTTTTTTTTTTTTTTTTACTTGTAGAGATGAGATTTTGCTATGTTGTCTGACAGGCCTTGAACTGCTGGGCTCAAGCAATCCTCCTGCCTCGGCCTCTAAAAGGGCTAGGCTTACAGGTGTGAATCACCACACCTGGCCTGATTTTCTTTTTAATCTAGTAGTATTTTACAATTCCCAAGTGTTCTAGAGGTTATGTTTTTGCTAATTCTTAGTTAATTTCATTGGGATTGGTATGATTTTTCTTATGGACTTCACAGATAGTCTTTTAAGTTAAGCTTCTGCTTCACAAGCAACAAGATAGGATTTTTTTGGGTCATAAAACCCCAAATAAATCGGTTGGGGCTACAGAGTCTACTTTTAGACTTAGTAGACAGAACAGCTTCCATGCATGATAAGATTAAACTTTTTCTGACTGATTAGATAGTAAACTTTGTGCTATTCAATGATATTCAGAAATGCTTTTAAATATCTTTGCAGCCACAAATAAGAAGAGTAATTCACCCAAGTCAGCTCGGTCAAGTATAGCAGGTAGTCTATCACTTCGAAGGGCAGTGGACCCTGGGGAAAATAGTCGTTCAAAGGGAGACTGTCAGACTCTGTCAGAAGGTAAATTTGGGGAGTTCAGAATGTAGTTTCAGTGGGGTAGATGTCTGTTATCAGAAATTCATGTTATGGTGGAGCATTAGACCTTGAAAGATACCAAAAATGCTAGTTTGATTTGGAAGTTTCTTGATCTCACACCAGAACAGGTCCTTAAGAAAATGCAGCCGTTAGACTTCATGTTCTGGGCTCCTTAATTTTAAATTGCTTGCATCAGAAAGACTGAGAAATACTTCAAAATTGTTTTTGAAGTTTTTATGTAATTTTAAAATGTATATAGTGAGATTTTCTGATCTGAGAGAACTTTCATGTTTATTTGCCTTCTTTCTGAATATTCCTCTTCCTTTTTTGAAGGCTCTCCAGGAAGCTGTCAGTCTGGGAGCAGACATAGTTCTCCCCGAGCCTTGATACATGGCAATATTGGTGATATTCTGCCAAAAACTGAAGACCGGCAATGTAAAGCTTTGGATTCAGATGCTGTTGTGGTTGCAGTTTTCAGTGGCTTACCTACTGTTGAGAAAAGGAGGAAAATGGTTACGTTGGGGTAAATTAAGTTCTCTTGTGTATGCTAATGGTATAATAGCTAATAGCTTTGTTTGAAACTTTACGTCTGTACTGTAATAGACAAAATTAATTTTTACTTTGTTAATTTTTTAACAGAAGTTCATTTATTGCATTAAAATGGGTAACTTTTAAAGTGCCAGAGACCTTATTTTGTTGTTTTTTTTAAGGAGGTAAACTAGTACCAAAAGTTCTGTTTAAATACGTTAGAGCTCATTTTCACTGACGTTATAAAAGTGATATATAAACTTGTGTGAACTCTGCCTTATGAGATTTGAGTGGTGTGTGTGTGCTTTTTTTTCTCAGCCTATCCCACACTTTCTAAAGATGTTAGTGCTGGGCACTATTACATGTCATAGGTTTTTACATATAATTTGTATGGAACAAAGAACTTCCATCAGTTTTGACTCTGCTTTTCTGCTTTTATCTCAGCTTTTTTCTTTCTTCTTATAAAAGTATCCTCAAACTTGTAGTTTTAATTTCTCAAAAGGATGCATAGTGGAAAAAACCCTCAAATCCCAGGCATGGCAGTTAAACTTCCATCCATTCAAAAGCTAGAGTGGTTTTATTTTTATTTATTTATTTATTTTGAGTTGGAGTCTCACCTCTGTCACCCAGACTGGAGTGCAGTGGCCGCTCCCGGCCACTGCAGCCTCGACCTGCTGGGCTCCGGTGATCCTTCTGCCTCAGCCTTCCAAGTAGCCGGAATTACAGGCATACGCTATCACGCCTGACTGATTTTTTTATTTATTGTAGAGATGAGGTCTCGCTATCCAGGCAGGTCTCGAACCCGCAGGCTCAGGCAATCCGCTCACCTCAGCCTCCCAAAAGCGCGGGATTACAGGCTGAGCCACCGAGCCCAACTAGCTAGAGTGGTTTTAGAAGGTGTTGTCTGTGGGTGCGCTAGATGAGCTATCTGCCGATCTATTTTATGTATATTAAATATATTTCTAAATGTAAACAATGAAACAGTTCTATATTGGAGACTTTGAAAAGAACTTTGAATTAAATTTAGAGGGGTTATTATTGCTTATGTTTCCTTAATTTTATATGGTTTCAAGGTCTAAGTCATACCAAATCTAAAAGGATGGCTGGTGGTTTTGTTTTCTGTTGTAGCTCAAGTTTCAACAGCAGAAAGATAATAAAATCAGTGGAGATTGTTTTGCTTTCTCCATTATCTAGCCTGATGTTATACATATTCCTTCAAATTAAAGCTGTAGCTAACATTTATATTTTGTTCTGGAGATATTTGTATTTGCCTTTAGTAATAAAGACTAAATGTAAGCTGGACTCGGTGGCTCAGCCTGTAATCCCAGCACTTTGGGAGGCTGAGGTGAGAGGAATGCCTGCGCCCGCGGGTTCAAGACTCGCCTGGGCAACTTGGCGAGACCTCATCTCGATAATAAATCAAAAAATTGGCCAGGCGTGGTAGCGCGCACCTGTAGTTCCAGCTACTTGGAAGTCTGAGGTGGAAGGATCGCCGGAGCCCAGCAGGTTGAGGCTGCGGTGGCCGGGAGCGGCCACTGCACTCTAGTCTGGGCGACAGAGTGAGACTCCAACTCACCAAAAAAAAAAAAAAAAAAGAGAGACTAAATGTATATGAACATGGATTTTTAATTCTAGAGTATAAAATCCTATACAAATGTCTGCACCTCTTAGGTATTAATATAATCCTCACTTAATAGTCAATTGTATCTGCCAGCTTGGTTCATGTGGGCACTGTCCAGCTTGTGTCTTTCTTCCCTACCTGATTTTAAAAAGCTTAAATACTGATAATAAGTGGTTCAAAATGGAAGGAAAAAAGAATATTAAATGAAAAATTCCCCATCCTTATCTCCTGTCTGCCTAGTGTTCCAACTGCCTGCCTACACATATTCATGCTGTTCTTAATTTTTTATGTATGCTGTATCTGTCATTTTTTATGTATATTTAAGCAACTGTGACTATATAGCTTTTTTTTTCTGAGTCAGAGTCTCTGTCACCCAGACTGGAGTGCAGTGGCATGCTTACAGCCACTGCAGCTTCAACCTGCTGGACTCAGGCAATCCTTCTGCCTCAGCTTTCCAAGTAACTGGAACTACAGGCATGTGCCACCATGCCCGGCTAATTTTTTGTTTATTGTAGAGATGAGGTCTCGCCAAGTTGCCCAGGCTGGTCTCGAACCCGTGGGCTCAGGTAGTCTCTCACTTTAGCCTCCCAAAGTGCTGGGAATATAGATGTGAGCCACTGTACCCGGCCTACTCCTTAACTTTTTTTTTTTTTGAGTTGGGGTCTCACACTGTGTAGCCCAGACTGGAGCATGCTCCCAGCCGTCACAGCCTTGATCTGCTGGGCTCCAGCGATCCTTCCGCCTCAGCCTTCCAAGTAACTGGAACTACAGGCATGCGCTACCACGCCTGGCTGATTTATTTATTTATTTATTGTAGAGATGAGGTCTCACCAAGTTGCCTGGGCGGGTCTTAAATCTGCGGGGTCAGGCAATTCACTCACCTTGGCCTCCCAAAGCTTGGGATTACAGGCTGAGCCACCGAGTCAGGCTATTTAACTTTTTTAATGCAAAAGATATACTTTGTTTTTCTCATTTAATGATATATCTCAAAAATCTTTCTTTATTAGAACATTATTTGGAACTTCTGTTACTATTTATTTTTAATTGAAATTTTTATTGAGTTAATTATAGATTCACACATAATTCACACACATTATAGATTCACAATAGTTGTAAGAAATAATACAGAGAGATGCTATGTACCTTATCCTGTTTCTTTTAATGATAAAACTGTAGTACAATATTACAACCAGGATATTACCATTGATATACTTCACCGTTTTATAATGTTTTGTTTTGAATTTTTAGTGAAATATTTTAAGATAAAATGAAAATTTGGTATTGAACATCAGTGCATACACTTTAATTAGTTTGATGCTCAGCTCTAGGACAAGAAAATGTAGATTATTGTGTCACTAGTTATATATATCAAGTTATTTTTTGCTTCTTTGAGGGCTAATGCTAAAGGAGGCCATCTGGAAGGAATCCAGTTGAGTGATTTGGAAAACAATTCTGAAACTGGGGAGTTACAGCCTATACTACCTGAAGGAGCGTCAGCTGCCCCTGAGGAAGGTAAGGAACAATAAAGTCATCATTAGACAGGAGGTGGGAAAATGGACCCTTTTGGTGATGATGGGTGGTGGTAGGGAATGGTTGGTTGAGTAAAAATCTGAGATCTGCTGTCTGACATACTTGATCTGAACATAGTGTTCATTGTGCTACTGAATTTGATTTGTAAGACTATTAAACACAGAGGAAGGCAAAATGGATATTTTACTACATAAAAGGACATGTCTTACTAGAAGAGGTATTTGCAGGGGGAACAATCTGCAGATATTTCATCTGCTCAACCAATAATGTATTAAGCGGCCAGTCTCAGTGGCTCAGCCTGTAATCCCAGCATTTTGGGAGGCTGATGCGAGTGGATTTCCTGAGCCGGTGTGTTTGAGACCAGCCTGGGCAACTTGGCAAGATCTCATCAATAAATAAAAAATTAGCTGGGTATGACAGTGAATACCTGTAGCTCTGGCTGCTTGGAAGGTTGAGGAGGAAGGATCACCGGAGCCCAGCAGGTTGACGCTGGGGTGGCCATGAGCGTGCCACTGCACTCCAGCCTGGGCAATGGAGTGAGACTCCAACTCAAAAAAAAAAAATGTATTAAACCACTTCTATGCCAAGCATTGAATTTTCACTAGATATACAAAGATGAGTTAAATATGTTCACAGTCTTACGGAAAAGATGTGCACCTAGACCACTAATGAGAATATTAAGTCTTCGTTTTTCAAATTTTTTTTGTGAGTTGTAGTCTCACTCTGTCACTCAGGCTGGAGTGCAGTGGCATGTTCACGGGCAGTCCAGTGTCGACCTGCTGGGCTCCGGCGATCTTCTGCCTCAGCCTTCCAAGTAGCTGGAACTACAGGCATGTGCTACCTGGCTAATTTTTTAATTTATTGTAGAAACAAGGTCTCACCAAGTTCCCCAGACTGGTCTTGAACCCGCGGGGTTAGGCAGTTCACTTGCCTTGACCTCCCAAAGCGCTGGGATTACAAGATGGGCCACCGAACCTGGCCAAGTCTTCATCTTTTAAAGTTGTCTTGATTAGTGTCTAAAAATTGCTTTTTTTTCCCCCTCAAAGAAGCATTCCAAGTTTTAACCGCCTTTTAAAATCCTTTATGGTGGCTGAACTCAACTCTGTTAACTTATTCTCAGTTACACTTTCTAATATTCCTTTTACATATTCTTCCAAGTTCGTTATTGTTTATATAAAAGCATAGAAGGCATTTTGTAATTTGGAGCAACGGAAGGTGCTTGAAACAAAGCCATGCATATTGTCCTTGCTGTATTCTTTATATTTTAGCAAGAAAAAAGAGACAACTTTCTTAATGATACTTGACATTGAAAATATTTTCATTTTATAGTGAAGCTGTCAGTTTCCACTCTGCACTCATTTGAATTTCAATAGCTGATGAATTAGAGCTCAAAGAATATATGCAGGTGCCTGCATCTACCTCTGGTTGCCCCGTGGAGAGAGCGTGTGAGTGGTGGCATTTTCAAGTTTCTCAGTTAAAAACATGAAACATTTTGGTCTTCTTAGTTTGTGCTCCTGTACTGGGCAGCATTATTTTATTAGAAGAAACTAAATGGAAAGGATTTTTAAAGTGATGGGTTCATTGTTAAAGCATTAAGAAATATTATGATTGATTATCTTTATAGAAAGGGCCCATGGGGAATAGCTACTTTCTGTGTGTTTATACATACTGGTTATAAATTGTAGTGGCTTAAATTGTTACAGCATGTGCTGGAATGACCAGCTCATTTTTTGCACACAGCATTTATGAAATGCTTCTGATTTGCCTGATGTTGCATTTGTTTTTGGTGATAATATAATTCCTGAACCTGCTTTCTAGTTCAGGGTTCCTCCACCTTGGCACCATTGTTGATTTGGGCCACAGAATTCTTTATTGTAGGGGTGCTGTTCTCTGCATTGTAGGATGTTCAGCAGCATCCTCAATTTTAACCACTAGGTACCAGCAGTGCTTCTCCCCCGGCCAGGTTAAAACAACCAGTTGAAACAGTGTTGTCAGACATTGCCAAGTGTTCCCTGGGAAGCAAAATCATCCCTAGTCCAGAACCATTAGTTGAACTAAGTAACTCTCAACCAGGAGTGACCACTACTTGAGAATCACTTGCCAGAGTAGGCCATTTATGTGGTGGTAGTGGTGGGGAAGGGAGCCGGGAAAGCAGTTGAAAACCACTGGTTAGATGTTGGAGAGACTAGTTAATAGCTAATTATAATATAGAATAAGTGCTGTGATAGGGCATATAGGGAGCTCAAAGAAGAGATATGTAATAAGGATAATACTAAGTCCTCACTATGTTCCAGAAATTGCTAATGTTATTCTCAAAACATCTCAACATGGTAGTTACTTTTGTTGTCCTGGTTTTACAGGTGAGTAAGCTGAGGCCTAGAGATGTAACTTACTTTCTCCAAAGTCACAGAGTTGGGTAGGTAATTGGAAAGGCTAGAATTTGAACCTAGAGGAGTGATCTTAACTGTCTTCTCTCTACTAACCTAGTCCACCCTTAGAAAGGTCATTGTAAGAGATGAGTAGGAGTTAGCCAGGTGAAGTCTGGCTAAAGAGAGACTAGGGTGGAGGCAGATAGAAATCAGATCATGAAGAGTTACATTGTATGTCCTACCTAGAATTTAGACTTTGTTCTTTGAATGACTCTCAGCAGGAAGTGACACAACAAAATTATTTTAAAATTTCTACTTTAGTTGGCTGGGCATGGTGGCCCACACCTGTAATTCCAGCAATTTGAGAGGCCAAGGCAGGAGGATTGTTTAAGCCCAGGTGAGGTGTTTGAGACCAGCCTAGGCAACATAATGAGACCTTGTCTCTACCAACAATTTTTAAAAAATTAACGGGGTGTGGTGGTACATGCCTGTAATCTCACTTACTCAGGAAGCTGAGGCAGGAGGATTGCCAGAACCCAGGAGGTAGAGGCAGTGGTGAGCTGTGATCATGCCACTGCACCCCAGCCTACACGACAGAATGAGACCCCAACTCAAAACCTAAAAATTTCTACTCTAGCTGCATTGTAGAGAATAGGTTTTGGGGATAGAAATGGGGTGTGGAGAATATACATTCTACTCAGCACTGCATGGAACGTACTCTAAGATCGACCACATACTTGGCCATAAATCAAGCATAAACAAATTTCAAAAGATCGAAATTTTGTCATGCACCTTCTCAGACCACAGTGGAATAAGAATAAACATCAGCACCAACAAGCTTCCCCCCAAACCCACAAAGGCATGGACACTAAACAGCATGATGCTAAACAACTCCTGGGTCAACAATGAAATCAAAACAGAGATTAAAAGATACCTGGAAACAAATGAAAATGAAGAGACATCTTACCAAAATCTCTGGGACGCCATGAAAGCTGTAGTTAGAGGGGAATTCTTATCCCTACAAACGTTCATGAAGAAAATGGAAAGATCACAAACCAACAGCCTAACAAGTCACCATAGGAAGCTGGAAAAGCAAGACCACCAAAACCCTAACTTCAGCAGAAGAATCCAGATCACCAAAATAAAAGCCCATATCCAGGACATAGAAGACAAAAAGAATACAAAAAAATCAATGAAACAAAAAGCTGGTTCTTTGAAAGGATAAACAAGATTGATGGTCCCTTAGCTAGACTGACCAAGAAAAAAAGAGAAAATGCCCAAATAAATACAACAGAAACACAAAAGATGAAGTCATATCTGACCCTGAAGAAATGCAAAAGATCATTAGAGACTACTATGTACACTTGTATGGAAACAAACTGGAAAACCTTAAGGAAATGAAAGACTTTCTAATATCACACAACCTGCCTAGGTTGAAACAAGAAGAAATCGAGACCCTAAATAGACCAATAACAATCAAGGAAATTGACTATGTAATAAGAAAACTACCTACAAAAAAAAGCCCTGGACCAGATGGCTTTCCAGCAGAATTCTATAAGACATTTAAGGAGGAGCTGATACCAATCCTACTGAAAGTATTCCAGGCGATTGAGAAAGATGGAGCCCTCCCCAAATCATTCTATGAAGCTAACATCACATTGATACCCAAGCCAGGTAAAGATCCAACAAAGAAAGAGAACTACAGGCCAATATCTCTGATGAACATAGATGCCAAAATTCTCATCAAGATCCTAGCAAACTGGATTCAACAACACATCTCAAAAATCATCCATCATGACCAAATAGGCTTCATCCCTGGGACGCAAGGCTGGTTCAACATTCGTAAAACCATAAATGTAATTAAATACATCAACAGACATCAGAACAAAACCCGCATGATTATATCATTAGATGCAGAAAAAGCTTTGGATAAAATCCAGCACCCCTTCCTGATAATAACCCTTGAACACCTAGGCATACATGGAACATACCTCAAAATAGTAAAGGCCATCTACGAGAAACCCACAGGTAGCATACTCCTAAACAGACAAAAATTGGAACCATTTCCCCTGAAAACTGGAACAAGACAAGAATGCCCACTCTCTCCCCTCCTGTTCAGTATAGTATTGGAAGTCCTAGCTAGAGCAATCAGAAAAGAGAACGCAATCAGGGGTATCCAAATAGGAAAAGAAGAAGTCAAGTTATCCCTCTTTGCTGATGACATGATTGTGTACCTTGAAAACCCAAGAGAATCTGTCAAAAAGCCTCCTTGCACTGATAAAGGACTTTGGCAAAGTCTCAGAGTATAAAATAAATGTGCAAAAGACTATCGCATTTCTTTACACCAATAATAAACAAACAGAAACCCAAATAAAAAACACAATCCCATTCACAATAGCCACCAAAAAAATGAAATACCTTGGCATCTTTCTAACCAGAGATGTGAAAGACCTTTACAATGAAAACTACAAAACACTGCTCAAAGAAATCAAGGATGACACAAACAAGTGGAACAATATCCCATGCTCATGGATTGGAAGAATCAACATTATAAAGATGTCCATTCTACCTAAGGCAATCTACAGATTTAATGCAATACCCGTCAAATTACCA